TATCGTCACAAGACCCACAGCGCCGTCACCGCGGGGCGTTGTGATCGACAATCATCACATCACCGTCCTTCATGACGTAATTTGCGTCAACGCCTGTCATCTGCAGCTCTGCCGCCTCGAGATTCGGCTTCGTGACGAATACGTCCCACGGCATAACCCTCGCGCGCAGAAAATGCCGCTCCATATCGGAGTGGATCTCACCGCTCGCCTCCTTTGCTGTTGCGCCCGCCCCGATAGCCCAGCCATGCGCCATGAGTGGCCCCACAGTGAAGAAAGACTGCAGCCGCAGCAGCCGGTATGCGCAGCGCAGCAGCTCTTCACCGCGCGGCACGTCGATGCCGTACTCCTGGAGGAACAGAAGACGTTCCTCCCGCGAGGAGAGCTGCGAGGTTTGCTCCTCCAATGAGGCTGACACGCGGCAGGTCCGCTCCGCGCCAAACTTCTGCTCAACTGGTGTAGTGAATTCATTTCCTGACATAACACTCGCCTCATCCGCGTTGAGCACAAACAGCATCGGCTTCGCGGATAGAAGCTGGTACTGCTGCAGCCACCGACGCTCCTCCTCGCTCTTCAGCTTCATCTCCGACGCGGGCTTGCCGTCCTGCAGCCACGATGCGACACGCTGGCAAAATGCCAATGCTGCATCCCCAGCCTTTTTTGTTTTGTTGTTTTTGTGCAGTATCTTCTCCACCGCCTCAAGATCGGCGAGGACAAGTTCATTCACAACTGTGCTAATATCGTCCAGCGGCGTTGGCGTGTCGAAGCCGTCTCTGGTGCTCTCAAAGCACCGCACCATGTGCAGTAGAATGGTGCATGGGCGAATGTCGTTGAGGAACTTGTTGCCGAGCCCGGNTGCTCTCAAAGCACCGCACCATGTGCAGTAGAATGGTGCATGGGCGAATGTCGTTGAGGAACTTGTTGCCGAGCCCGGCGCCCTTCGATGCGCCCTCGATGAGCCCCGCCACATCCGCGAGGTCAATCTCAACGTCGACGATCTTCTGCGCCCCTGTGAAGGCGGCGAGCCTACGCAGCCGCTCGTCCACCACAGGGACCTTTGAGAGATTCGCGTCGATGGTGCAGAAGGGGAAGTTGCCCGTCTTGGCCTGCTGGCTGCACGTGAGGGCGTTGAAGAGCGTCGACTTCCCAACGTTGGGGAGGCCGATGATGCCGGCACCGCGGCGGCGCAGCAGCAGCGGGCACGCGCGTAGCATGAGCGTCCACTTGTATGATGTCTGAAGCTTTTCAAATGCGCCTGATATAAAAATATTTCTCTCTCTCTCTCTCCCCCCTCTGAGTGTGTGTGTGTGTCAGCCGTCAGACAATCCCCTTTTTTTATTCCTTGCGCCTTGTGTTCGTGAATCGTGCAGCCAAAATGAGTTGCAGGGGCGCACAGGCAGAGAGAACGGCAAAGACACGGGCTTGACGCAAAAGCGAACGCAGGACAGTCAGAAGCCTTTGAAGCGCAATACAGTGCACTAGTCAGCAACAGGCATGCAAAGAGAAGGGCAGAGAGGGAGTAGTAGACACAGTCACGCTCTTACAACAAATGCCAAAACACAACGAACAAGTCAGTGTCAGCAAACAAAACCGTCGAACACCGCATCCCATCTCGCATGTGAGAGGGGGAGGAAAAAGCTTGGTGGGATTCGCCACCACTGCTGATGTTGGGTGTTCTTCTTGCTGGTAGTTACCACCCGCACTCTTTTGTGAATAACTCTGTTCTGCGGTTCGCGTTGCCCCCACCCCCACCCCCTGCAACACCCCTCCCACTTTCCAACTTTATTCACAGCACCCTGCAGAAGAGTCTCCCTGGAGCAGCAGCAACAACAGCAACCGTTCAGCAAACCGGTAAAAGGGGAAAAAAAGAGATTGGAAGAGAGGAAATGACAAAAGCCCTTCGAAGGAAAATGATACTGGTAACAAAGCTGGGTAGACTTGGGCGCAGTAAACGACTGTGACTCGACCTGAGCCTCCCTGAGCACGCCTACATGCGTCTTTGCATTCCCCCTCCACTCCCCCTTTTTTTTTGCTTTCCTCACAATATCTCATTTGTGTTTCGTGCAGATGTGTGTATTTATAGGCGTCTGTGTGTGTGTGTGTGCATACGTGTGTACGTATGGGTTGGTCTCTCTCCCCCCCC